GGGGAGTAGGTTGGAAGGCCTCCTGGAGCTTCCATCACATGACAATTTTTAATTGAAGATTAATCTTTAATTCCTGGAGACTCCAAGCCAACCCTGGAGTGACACAAGCGTATAATACTCATTTTTTTCTGGTTTGGCCTAATGGGCTCCATGGAGATGTTGGTGCAACTCTCTTGTGGGACTCATGGGGGGGATGTGTCGTGATATCTTCCTTATGGGAATGTATCCTGCCTTCTGAAGTTCTATTTACGCAAAGATCATCTGAAAGATCCCAGATGTGAGAAGGTATATCACATCACCTCACCGCCACACTTTATACATGTACCACTTCATGGAGCTCTCATTCGCGCTCTTACCCTTTTACTCCTTTCTTTGGGGGCTTGCTTTTGAACTGTCTTGTCTGCCTTTGCTTGAACTTGGGAGGTCCCTTGCGTGGTGTGGTGGGACCAGTTGCTGTTTCTGTGGTGTTGAGAGTGTTGGTGTCGCTCATTCTCGGGTTGCTGTACGCACGAGGTACTCCTCTTTCAAATCTTCCTATCTGTAAGACAAATGCAGATAATGAAATGGAAGGAACATGCTGAATTTATGACTTCTAGATAGCATCAGCCAAAGGAGGGAGAAAAAACCTATACCTTTGACCAGAGCCTATAGAAGGGGATTAAACAGACAGGATGGGCAGGGATGGTATCTCTACTAGAAGCTGAGAATGGGCGTCAGGGGAGGGATCACTCAATGATTACCTCTTCTGTTCATTGCCTCTGACAGCACCTGACATTGGCCATTGTTGGAAGACAGTATACTGGGCTACATGGACTGTTGCTCTAACCCAGTATGGATATTCATATGTTCTTATATACAGAATAAGAAACAGAATTACATCTGCAGTCACACTTGCTAGGATAAAAATGGCAAGTTCTAAGCTATGGGGACACCAGCTGGGGGGCAAGCAGGCATTTATCTACCTTAGTAGGATATTGCATTGTGACCTGCAAAAAGACAGTCACACCTGCTTCTGAAGCATGTATTATTGGTCAATGTTGCTAGACCAGATGGCCCAATAATCAGTTCTAGTGAAGCAGAAGGTCTAGTTCCAATGGAGCTAGATAACTGATTTGTCCTAGTCTGGTAAAGCCTATATTTTTTATTACAGATTTAGTATATACCTATTGAGTGTCACATCACTCTAAGAAAATATTTATAAACATTACAGAATATTTTGGCAATATGGAATATTAGCCTCCTAGGGAAATAGATTTTCCCAAGAGGTTTTAAATGGGACCAAGGCAAAGCAGTGGAGAATATATTTTAGAAAACAATCCTTCGTTAATTAAGATATGGGAGAGCATGAGTGGGTGAGCTGACCCAATAGCCATTGTCCATCTCCAATTTTGATGATTGTAAGTGTCATGGGCAATGGCTTTGCATACTCCATTGCTGCATATGGATCAGGTCACAATTCCATACTGTAAAAAAAGGGAAATCTGGGAACAAAGCTAACTAACTAACACTAGGTGGTTCTCAATATAAATGGGCACCATCAAATCTGTACATCTGCTCAGCAGATTGTAAAAGTGACCAAGAAACCATGTGGGCATTGTCACCCCCCTAATGGATGGAAGCCTGAAAAGGATGTAAATTCTGTTGCTAGCATGTAGAGGACATAAAAGAGAGTTTATCTCAAGTGGTAGAGCTGCTGCATTGTTAGCTGCGAGTTTTGTGGTTCTAAAGCTGGGCAAAATACAGTGTCCTTCAGATACACAGCAGCCGCAGTTTAAAGCTCAGTCCCCATGACTCTCTGCTCTGCAGGAAAGGGGAGGCTTTGTGTGGAAACCACCCAGCCAATAGGAGCTGAGAGATTGGCCTGGGAGATGGGGTCAGCACAAGCCTCTTCCTCCTCCTGGAGCCAAGAGGAGGGAACAGCCTGCAGTTTCAAGCATCTGTGGCTGTAGCCTGCCTTGGGGGTCCTGCAGGGCTGCTGACCAGGAGACACTTAGGTAAGCCCCTCCCACTCAGAGCCTGCCTCTGGCACCCCTGTTCCTCCTGCACCCCAACTCCCTGCCCCAGGACACCAACCAAACCCTTTGCACCCCCGACCCAGGTCACAGCTCCCTCCCAGATCCTGAACCCTCTCCTTTACTCCTCCCCCAGGCCAGAATCCTCTCCTGCACTCATACCCCCTCCAAGACTCTACACCCCATTCCCCTGCCCCAGATCACCACCCAAACCCTCTGCATCCCCTTTTCTTCTCCCAGGTCAAAATTCCCTCCAGGAATTCCTTTTGTACCTCCTCCTAGAACCCCACTCCCAGGCCAGAATCCTCTCTTGCACCCCTACTCCCTCCACGATCCTACACCCCTATCCCCTGCCCCAAGTCACAACCAGTGTTCTCTCTAAGCCAGTGATTACCAAATGTTTTGGCATCATGCCTCCCTTTTTGAGTTTTGAAAAACCCTCATGCCCCGCCCCCAAATAGTAGCAAAACTTGTTGAGCAAAAAAAAGGAAACTGAACAGGGCAACAAAACTTGATGGAGGGGGAAGGAGAGGCTGGATTGCCTCACGCCCCCCCTGGAATTTCTTCATGCCCCCCAATTTGTGAACCCCATGCTCTAAACTGTGCAGGAGCACAGCTTCACAGGTGATTAATCAGCGCTGCCCAGTCAGTCAGCACAGTACATAGAGCCCTGAGCCTATGATTGGGCGGGGCTGATTAATCACCTGTGAAGCTGTGCTGCCATGCAGATTAGAGGGAGCACTGGTCACAACCCCCTCCTTCACCCAGACTCCCTCTCAGACATCACACCATCTCCTACACCCCAGTACCTTACTCCATGTGCTCTTCTGCAGCCAACCTCCATCCTAGACCCTGCATCTCCTCCACAGGCAAGTGTGGCCCTTGACCACTTTCCAAAATCTTGGAGTGGGCCCCCATCAAAAATTATTGCCCACTCCTATTCTAAACCTTGCAACACATGGATCCCTGACACCTGTGTCCCATGGGATCATCTGTCCCTTCATCAACTCTGATGTAGCTTAGTGCACCCTATTCAAGAGCACTTAGTGGTACAGTAGTTAAAAAAGGAGTGGGTAAACAATCGTATAATACATTCCATATTTTCCAAAGCAGAAGTGAGGAAACTTCATTTATTCATTTTACCCTCCCCTCCACTCCACTCCTGTGTGCACCTTTCATGAAATCAAATGCTTCCCTTATCTGCACTGCATTAGTCATTTATTCATTTTACCCTCACCTCCACTCCACACCTGTATGCACCTTTCATGAAATCAAATGCTTCCCTTATCTGCACTGCATTATGAATCTCCTCTCCTAAAGCATTTCTGTTGGTTCATTTATTCAACATTCATGCTAACAAGTGCTGGGATTAGCTTCATGTTTTAGTACTGATGTCAAATCCCTTTATGTCACCACAGTAATTCTTGTATAATCCCCCATTCCCTCCCCTCCCCCTCTGTGATGTTACAGACAGCAGAGATGAGATCTTTCTAATCACCAACCTATAAAAGCCACCAAAGAGCTGAAACTATTTTTAGATCATTGACAATTAGGGAATGAGAGAGCTCTTTGGGCCCCATCAGTGCCTGTAGTTGCCATAATTCTTTCCTTTAAACAAAATCTAGAAAGGTCGGGGGGAAAGCCTGAGGAGCAGAGAATTTATTCCTAGCAATTCCATTTTACATGTGCATGTATGTGGCTATACCACATGCTTTGTAATAAAGGTGTTCTATAGGAGAAGCTCAGTACACTAGAGATTGTAGGGTTAAAGTCATTCTAAGTGAAACAACAGACAGCAGAGTTTGTAGTTATGGCCAGAAACAGTTTGAAGTGTATTTACACTAGACCTCTTGCCTGCAGTATATCCATAATCTCCCAAGGCACACCTGCTAAACACTCAGTTTGATCACAAACACAGTCATAGTAAATCTAGTTATGTATCTGTCTTGTTACCTATATGATTCCTGTCAACATAGTATCTGAGCATCTCCGAGGAATGTATGGATTTATTCTCACAACAACCTGTAGAGTGGGGGTAACAATACATTTTACTGAAGAGAAGCTAAAACAGAGATTAAGTGATTTGTCCAAGGTCGCAGAGTAAATCTGTATCTGAGCCAAGAATTATACCTAGATCTCTTGAATCCCAGTTTAGGGCAAAATTATCTGCTGACGTAAATGGAATTAAGTTAATTTAGATGAGCAGGGAGTTTTCTTAGCTACAAGATCATCTTTCCTTCTTGATGACGTATTAGTTAAAGAATTAACAAAAAATTAAACTCTGCCACTTTGCTCTAAGAAATGTAGAACTTTTAGCATTAAAATTAAGTATTCTGGTTTGCATGGTTTGCATTGTGCACTATTCTCAAAAGCCATAAAAATCAATTGGGTACAGTTACAGTGATGTGACTCCCTCCTGGAACACTAGAAAGGCAGGGCAATGTAAAGGTGCAAATAAAACCCAAAGAACATCTCTAACCAGCTTTGATCTACCATGACAGACTCAGATACTGTGCTGGCTGCCTCCTGTCCTGGCCACCCATGAGCAAATGAAATGTCACTTGATGGTAAAAACGGCCGACTGAGATTTTTAACCTCGGATACTGACATCAAGAAACAAGGGAGACAGCTGGGCCATCATCTGTCAGTGCCATCGTTCCTTGTTTTAGCAGACACCAGGCTAGCACTGCCACAACACTCTATCCAGGTCATAACACATTTGGGAGGCAGCTGCTTCCTGTCCTTCAAAGCCTCCTTGGCCCCAAGGTTTACTATGGAGGAGAAGCAGCTAATAGGAGGACTCTGTCTATGGGATTCAGAGCCTTTCCTCAAGCCATACCTAAATGAGATTTCAGCCACTTCTGCCTGGTATATGGTAGGAGAAAGCTCCAGACCAAACCATAGTACATCCTATTTCTCGCTAATGTAAGAGAGGAGGAGAGAAATGGGATTCAATTGGGTTAAGGAATAACAATTCTCTTTCCCCCTCAGCACCTTCATTACTTCTGTTCTCACTATTCATCTCCACAGCCTGATAGCACCTTGGAAAAGAGCATAGAGCTTTTGGGTGGGCAGTAGCATCAGTGCTGGGGAGAGTTCATTCTTCCTTCATCTCAAGCTAGGAACCAGACAACACAAAATCACCATGCTGCTATTATGCCAACAGGCCAATTTCCCTCCACACGAAAGCAAAGATGTCTTTGTTTTTTGGAGTGGAGACCAGTTCTCATCTACACAAGAGTTGCATCAGTTCTCCTGTCTCTGATCAGTTCCTCTTGCACCAATTCTTGTGCCTCTGTGATCAGTTCCTCCTCAACCATGCAGGACCAGAGAGACACACAACACAGCCTTCTGCTTGTTTTTTTGCAGCCTTGTGTATCCATTTATCTAGGTACTTAGATGGAACCAGTCATCCCAGTACTTAGGTACCTGACAAACTCCTACTTCAGTTAATTTGATCTTTTTCTATGGCACCTCTTCAAGTTCTCTGGCACCTTACCTCTTAATATGATCCAGAGGGTTTGCT